GCAAAAGCTAAGAGAATTCCACACCACCAAACCAGCTTTACAGCAAATGCTAAGAAACTTCTCTCAGCGGGAAACACAAGAAAAAGACCTGCAAAAACAAACCCAAAACAATTAAGAAAATGGTAATAGGAGCATACATATCGATAATAACCTTGAATGTAAATGGATTAAATGCCCCAACCAAAAGGCAAAGACTGGATGAATGGATACAAAAACAAGACCCATCTATATGCTGTCTACAAAGGACCCACTTCAGACCTAGGGACACATACTGACTGAAAGTGAGGGGATGGAAAAAGATATTCCATGCAAAGGGAAATCAGAAGAAAGCTGGAGTAGCTATACTCTTATCAGAAAAAATAGACTTTAAAATAAACAATGTTACAAAAGACAAGGAAGGACACTACATAATGATCAAGGGATCAATCCAAGAAGATATAACAATTATATAAGCACCTATATATAGGAGCAGCTCAATACAAAAGGCAACTGCTAACAGCTATAAAAGAGGAAATCGACAGTAACACAGTAATAGTGGGGGACGTTAACACCTCACTTACAGCAATGGACACAACACCCAAAATGAAAATAAATGAAACAGAAGCTTTAAATGACACAATAGACAAGATAGACCTAATTGATATTTATAGGACATTCCATCCAAAAACAGCAGATAACACTTTCTTCTTAAGTGCATATGGAACAGTATAGATAGATCACATCTTGGATCACAACTCAAGCCACAGTAAATTTAAGAAAATTGAAATCATATCAAGCATCTTTTCTGACCACAACGCTATGAGATTAGAAATGAATTACAGGGGAAACAATGTAAAAAACACAAACACATGGAGGCTAAACAATACATTACTAAATAACCAAGAGATCACTGAAGAAATCAAAGAGGAAATCAAAAAATACCTAGAGACAAATAACATTGAACACACGATGATCCAAAACCTATGGATGCAGCAAAAGCAGTTCTAAGAGGGAAGTTTATAGCTATACAAGCCTACCTCAAGAAACAAGAAATATCTCAAATAAACAATCTAACCTTACACCTAAAGGAACTAGAGAAGGAAGAGCAAGCAAAACCCAAGTTTAGCAGAAGAAAAAAATCATAAAGATCAGAGCAGAAATAAATGCAATAGAAACAAGGTAAAAAGTGGCAAAGATCAGTAAAACTAAAAGCTGGTTGTTTGAGATAATAAAATTGATAAACCATTAGCCACACTCATCAAGAAAAAGAAGGAGAGGACTTAAATCAATAAAATTAGAAATGAAACAGGAGAAGTTACAACAGACACCGCAGAAATACAAAGCATCCTAAGAGACTACTACAAGCAACATTATGCCAATAAAATGGACAACCTGGAAGAAATGGACAAATTCTTAGAAAGGTGTAACCTTTCAAGACTGAACCAGGAAGTAATAGAAAATATGAACAGACCAATCACAAGTAATGAAGTTGAAACTGATTAAAAATCTTCTAACAAACAAAAGTCCAGGACCAGATGGCTTCACAGGTGAATTCTATCAAACATTTAAAGAAGAGCTAACACCAATCCTCAAACTCTTCCAAAAATTGCAGAGGAAGGAACATTCCCAAACTCATTCTAAAAGGCCACCATCACCCTGATACCAAAACCAGACAAAGATACTACACAAACAAAAATTATACACCAATATCACTGATGAATATAAATGCAAAAATTCTCAACAAAATACTAACAAACAGAATCCAACAACACATTAAAAGGATCATACACCATGGTCAAGTGGGATTTATCCCAGGGATGCAAGGATTCTTCATAATATGTAAATCAATCAGTGTGATACACCATATTAACAAATTGAAGAATAAAAACCATATGATCATCTCAATAGATGTAGAAAAAGCTTTTGACAAAATTCAACACCGATGTATGATAAAAACTCTCCAGAAGGTGGGCATACAGGGAACCTACCTCCACATAATAAAGGCCACATATGACAAACCCACAGCAAACATCATTCTCAATGGTGAAAAACTGAAAGCATTTCCTCTAAGATCAGGAACAAGACAAGGATGTCCACTCTCACCACTATTATTCAACATAGTTTTGGAAGTCCTATCCATGGCAATCAGAGAAGAAAAAGATAAAAGTAATACAAACTGGAAAAGAAGTAAAACTGTCACTGTTTGCAGATGACATGATACCATACATAGAGAATCCTAAGGATGCCACCAGAAAACTACTAGAGCTAATCAATGAATTTGGTAAAGTTGCAGGATACAAAATTAATGCACAGTAATCCCTTGCATTCCTCTACACTAATGATGAAATATCTGAATGAGAAATTAAGGAAACACTTCCATTTACCATTGCAACAAAAAGAATAAAATATCTAGGAATAAACCTACCTGGGGAGACAAAAGACCTGTATGGAGAAAACTATAAGACACTGATGAAAGAAATTAAAGATGATACCAGCAGATGGAGAGATATACCATGTTCTTGGATTGGAAGAATCAATATTGTGAAAATGACTATACTACCCAAAGCAATCTACAGATTCAATGCAATCCCTATCAAATTACCAATGGCATTTTTTATGGAACTAGAACAAGAAATCTTAAAATTTGTATGGAGACACAAAAGACACCGAATAGCCAAAGCAGTCTTGGGGGAAAAAAACGGAGCTGGCAGAATCAGACTCCCTGACTTCAGACTATACTACAAAGCTACAGTAATCAAGACAGTATGGTACTGGCACAAAAACAGAAACATAGATCAATGGAACAAGATAGAAAGCCTAGAGATAAACCCTCGCACCTATGGTCAGCTAATCTATGACAAAGGAGGCAAGGATATACAATGGAGAAGAGACAGTCTCTTCAATAAGTGGTGCTGGGAAAACTGGACAGCTACATGTAAAAGAATGAAATTAGAGCCCTCCCTAACATCATACACAAAAATAAACTCAAAATGGATTCGAAACCTAAATGTAAGCCCGGACACTATAAAACTCTTAGAGGAAAACATAGGAAGAACACTTTTTGACATGAATCACAGCAAGATCTTTTTTGATCCACCTCCTAGAGTAATGGAAATAAAAACAAAAATAAACAAATGGGATCTAATGAAACTTAAAAGCTTTTGCACAGCAAAGGAAACCATAAACAAGATGAAAAGACAACCCACAGAATGGGAGAAAATATTTGCAAACGAATCAACGGACAAACGATTAATATCCAAAATATATAAACAGCTCATGCAGCTCAATATTAAAAAAACAAAGAACTCAATCAGAAAATGGGCAGAAGACCTAAATAGGCATATCTCCAAAGAAGACATTCAGATGGCCAAGAAGCACATGAAAAGATGCTCAACATCACTAATTATTAGAGAAATGCAAATCAAAACTACAATGAGGTATCACCTCACACCAGTTAGAATGGGCATCATCAGAAAATCTACAAACAACAAATGCTGGAGAGGGTGTGGAGAAAAGGGAACCCTCTTGCACTTTTGGTGGGAATGTAAATTGATACAGCCCCTATGGAGAACAATATGGTGGTTCCTTAAAAAACTAAAAATGGTTGTGTACGATCCTTCTCTATTCTCTATTTTAAGACTTCATGGCTTACATATGTGGATGTGTTTTCCACTAATATTTCTCTGTTACTAACATTGTTTTATCTAAGATTCTGGCTTTGCAGACATTTGAGGAGCAACAGTGTATTCTGTATTCACTTTTGGTAAAAATTGGCAGAATTTAAAAGATTATATATTCATTTTCATTTTTGTAACATTTTTCCTTTGCATTTTCTAAACTATTAAATAATAGTCCATGAGGAGTTTACTGTGACTGTTCCAGGTTAACCACCCCCCCCATTTATATTTTCTTCATTACTAGCAACTTTATTTTTATAGGGTTTTTAAAATTGCTTCCATATCATATATTGTCAACTTTAGCATAAAGGGTTTTGGGGTTGGTTTTCTTTTTATAAAAAGAGTAAACATCTTAGAATATTCTTTACATAGGATGGTTATTGCCTAATAATTTGAAATTTAAAGCAATCTTGTCCACTACTAGCCATTTTTTAATCAAAAAAATTTCACTGTTTATTGAGTGTGCATCATTTATTTAAAATTAGAATTACTTCAGCAATGCTTGTGGCATACTTTGAATTATAAATTGATGTTAAATTAGGGACAACGAGCAGTTCACAGTATTGTTAATGATTAACTGTCTTTTCTGAGTGTGACTATTTGTCTTAACATTTGGCAGTTAGAATTTTAACATGATGAATTAATCTCAGAATTTTGCTTATATATGCATTTTTCTGCTCATTGATATCATGTTTTCTAATTTCTATGCATTACTATAAAGTTAAATTCGAATTCAATTTTTTTACAAAGGATACAGTACATATATACTGATATTATTTCTGAGTAGGTACGTGTTTAATATTGGTGTTTTCCTATTTGTTGACCTTTTTCTTTTAATATTTGTCTTTTCTAGTTTACATGTTTTTCCTTACTTGTAAGTTTGTACATAACTAAGTAAACAGTAGAAATATCCAATATATGAAAGAAACATACAAAGAAGGAATTCAGCAATTGTCTTTACTTTGCAACTCAGGTGTGGTACTCAGTTATCCCTTAGTTAAGGTTGTTGTTAGTGTGTCCCTTAGTGTTCCTATCTTACGTCATAGTATTCTGTAGTATTTTAAAGCTTTCTTTAAAATTTTCCAACCTAAAATATGATTAAATAGCATGTTTTCATGCTTTTAGGAAAAAATTGATTTTCTTTTCCAAACTGAATGAGGAATTAATCTACTAACATTTCTGCCTCTTGTTTGGTTTGTTGCTCTTCAGAGGAAGAGTATTTTTCTAACATTATTCTGGTACAGTAGAAAATGTTCTTCGTCTCAGACTGCTTGTTCATGGTGTCCTGTACAATAAATTTATTCATTCTACAGTATAATGTATCACTTTCATTTTTTCACTTAGGGTTTTCTGCCGTTTCTTGGCAAAAATGGCAACCAGTGATGCCGTTCTCAAGAGACTGGAACAGAAGGGTGCCGAGGCAGATCAAATTATTGAATATCTTAAGCAGCAAGTTGCTCTTCTTAAGGAGAAAGCAAGTAAGGAAATTTGAAAATTTAAATTTTCTAGGGAGATAACTTAAAATGAATTCATATATTGACAGAGCAAAAAATATATATATATGTTTACCACATATTATTACTTCACAAACTTGATGATGAGTTCTATATTCCTTTAATACTACAATTATGAGTGAAATAATATAGGATTAAGATAAGCTGGAATTGGTGTATAGTGAATATGTGATATTTAGAGAAAACAACATATTATTTTAAGACTGATAAAAGAAAATACTTAAAATAAGTTGGTAGAGAATTAGAGATTAAAAATGAAGAAAATTGAGTGGAGTCAAATACGAACTCAAATATCTCCTCTAACCTTGTATAGAAGAAAATGTATACTTTCACATTACTCTCTGCTAGGGTATTTTCTGAAATGATTTTTACATTTTTTCCAGTGCTTAAGTTTTACATGGAAATTGCTATGGTGCATACAAAAAATATCAAATCTGAATTTCTGCTTTTAAAATTTAGGTTGTTTTCTGTTTTGTTTGTTTAAGTATATTTTATTTCTCAATAGTCAATGTTAATGTTATGAAAATTCCAGAATCTTTACCATCACTTATAGAAATAAATGCTTTTCTTTGCTATATAAAACTGAATGACTTATAGAATCCTACATTCGTTCTCTAAAAATTTTTCCCATTATCAATTTTTTTCTTAATTTTAAATACTGTTTTAATTATTTTTATAAAGTTTTATAAACATTGTTATTTTTCTTAAAATTTTAAAAGGATTTTTCTTATTTTTAAAAATTCTTAATATTTTTTTCATTAGTAAGATGAAGAGATTAGAGATATATGTAATATAGAGGAGAATTAAAAAAGAAGTAATTTGTGAATAGTAGTAATAATAAAAATGTGTATTTCAGTAAGTAAATACTTAGGCAGGACTATACTGCCTGACATATGAGAGGGTCACATGCTACATGGTTCACATACATGGTATCACCAAAAACGCAACAGGTGTAATACAGATTGATACAGTAGTGTGCCTTTGTATAGACAACTCAGATACCAAAAGCAGCTTTTAGTCATGTTTTTGATTTACTCAAAATGATGAATGATTCTTTATGTAAAGCTGTTGAAAAAAACAAAGTACAGTCTACTCTTGATTTACATGGTACTTGATTCCTAGAAAATTCAGAGTATAATGAAAATGTTTAAGAATGTTTATATATAAAAAGTAATTAGGCTCAAATAATTAACAGGATTTTCACTTATACAAATGTACAATGGGTCACTGCAAAATCCTGCAGAATGTAAGACGGTTCTTCATTTTACTGGAATATCTAGCATATTTCAGGACATCTGGCATCCCTGACCCCTGGCTAACAAATGCCAGTAATGACTCCCATTGTTTGTGACAACAAAAAATACTCCCACAGATTTTCAAAATCCCACCTAGGGAGCAGTACCAACCCCACCAAGAATCACTGTTTTTCTTTTATATTTTTGTATACCTTATTGCTGTCCTCGAACACACATATTATGTGTTGAGCAAATCTTTGAAGTTATTTCATTCATTAAATGTTTGACCAGCTTAACTTTTGCAACATTAGGAGTAAAAGATTATTCAGTTCCTTTTACAAGGTAGTCACTAAAAAGGAAGAAATGAGAATTTTTTTTATTGTTTGGTATCATTATTAGATCTTAGACTTTTTAAAAGTTTAATATGTCTAATATTTGTCTCTCTTTCTTACAGTTAACCTGCTACTGACACTTTGAGCCAGGTTCATAATGTTTATAAAAGCTAGGAAAATGATTGATAAACAAAACCTTTTGTGTTGTTATTACTTCACAGATTTTTTTTCCCTTTTTCTCTCTCTTTTAAATATCATGTTATTTTAATAAATACTAAACTGATATAAAGAAACTGGCCAAACATTTGGTTACTAGCTTTGTTTAAAGTGGCTGTGCTTTTTTTAAGTAGTATCCACAAGAAACCTTTTAGAAAACAGCTGTATCTTAACTGGTTGTTCTTGATCCCAGTTTTGCAGGCAACTTTGAGAGAAGAGAAGAAACTTCGAGTTGAAAATGCTAAATTGAAGAAAGAAATTGAAGAATTGAAACAAGAGCTAATTAAGGCAGAAATTCAAAATGGAGGTGATTAATTATAGAAATGATAGGTTGTTTTTATTCATAATAATAATTATTATATTGTTTATTAAGTTAGGTTTTATGCTTGGTTACGTATTCATGCATTTATCCTCTTATATTGAAGAGAAAATATAGACTTAGAAAATGCAAATAAATGATCTTGCCTAAGATCATGCAAAAAGTGTCAAAGCTGGAGTTCAGAAAGCTGTACTTCTAATCTGTGTACTGTGATCATCACTATTCCCTATTAAACTTGATCATCACTATTCCCTTGATCATCATCAACTATGTCACTATATACTTGTTGAAAATAAGCCATAATAATATTTAGTTAACATTTACTAAGTTTTGCTTTATGCCAGGCACTATGTGCCAGGTGCTTCATATACGTTTTATATTTTATCCTTAGGATTACATACATACAAGTATCCTTGTTTTACACATTGAAGCTTAGAGGTGTGTAGTCATTTGCCTGAAATCAAATACTTTTTTTTTTTTTTTTTTGCGGTACGCGGGCTTCTCACTGTTGTGGCCTCTCCCGTTGCGGAGCACAGGCTACGGACGCGCAGGCTCAGCGGCCATGGCTCACGGGCCCAGCTGCTCCACGGCATGTGGGATCTTCCCGGACCGGGGCACGAACCTTTGTCCCCTGCATCGGCAGGCGGCCTCTCAACCCCTGCGCCACCAGGGAAGCCCTCAAATACTATTTTTAAGTTACCCAAGCCAGCGTATAATTATCATTCCAACAATTAGGTTGAAAAAAATGAAAATCTTTATTGAATTATTTTAAAGGTTTCTAGATAAATTCACATTATTATAAAATGACATTAATAGTATGAATAGTTCTATTATAATTTCAAAGTACCACATGGAAAAACATTTGATTATATTGTAGAAAATCCTTCCTGGGTGAATTAAGGAGGCCCAGGTATAGTGAAAGTCTTACTGCTCCCTTTTGACCTTTATTCTCTCACTAAGTTATTCTGAATGCTGTAGTATGCATTCTACCCTAGCTAAATAAAAGTAAGAGGAAAAAACCAATAATGTATGCTTAAAACTATCAACTGGAGAGAATATTATTTTCACTGGAAAATAGTTGATGTTTTCCAAGATTAGGAGATTTGGAATACAGGTGCAGAATTAAATATACAGCTAAAATATTAGCAGTGTAAAAATGCTTTTCATTTCTCCCAGTTCTAGAAGATTGCCCTGTAAACATTAAACTTTTAAGCTGTGATCTTAATAAAACACTGAAACAAACAGTTTGAATTAAAGTACTGAATTCTGTCTTGTTGAAACATAAAATAGGGGTAGATGGAGCTTCATATTACTAAAAGAAGCCTTGAAAGAACTTTAAAAATACCTCTGAGAAGTGGTTTGAATATTGGCTGGAATATAAGCCACATCAAAATCCCTCACAAGATTATATTCTTCCATGTTCACTAGGCAGTGAGTATGTTTTTAACATTGCTGGAGCAATTTTCTTTAAAATATTTTTTGAAACAGAATTATGGGCAAATAATGCTGCTATCTCTCCATTACTTCTGATGATTGTTACTAAAACATCTTTTCAGTTGATAGTTCAATTTAAGAGAAAACCTGAGTGAAAAACATGCCATCTTGCCAAACCATGAGGGGGTGTAATCTCTGGAGACAGACAACCTAGGTATAAATTCTTATTTCCCTTACTCACTATGTGTGTGATGGGCCAGTTTCTTAACTTCTGTGTGGCTCTGGTTGATCATCTGTAAATGTGGATATGAATAAAACTTACTGCTTAGGGTATTTATGAGAATTACAAGAGTTAATTCAGATAAAGCATTTTGAAAAGTGTCTGGGACATAGTAAGTTTATAATAAATATTAGCTTACATTGTTGCCATCTAAAATTTTCTCAGTTTAATCATGAGTGATTGAAGGAGAATAATGCATTTATTCTTTTATGGTTAAAATAAACTTAATTTCTTGGCAGCCTTTCTACAGTCTCAGATAGTAGAGACTTGATAATCATACACACTGAGTTTCCTTTTTAAGAAGAGTTCATGTTCTACCATATGACCCAGCAGTTCCACTCCTAGTTATATATCCAAAAAACCAAAAACACTAATTCAAAAAGATACATGCACCCCAGTGTTCATAGCAGCATTGTTTACGATTGCCAAGATATGGAAGCAACTTAAATGTCCATCAACAGATGAATGGATAAAGAAGATGTAGTATATACATACAAACACAGTGGAGTACTGCTCAGCCATAAAAAAGCGTGAAATTTTGCCATTTGCAGCAATATGTGTGGACTCAGAGGGTATTATGCTGAGTGAAATAAGTCAGACAGAAAAAGGCAAATACTGTATCACTTATAGGAGGAATCTAAAAATTATAACAAACTAGTGACTATAATAAGAAGTTGACACAGATTTAGAAAACAAACCAGTGGTTACCACTCAGGAGAGGGGAAGGGGGAGGGGCAATATAGGAGTTGGGGATTAAGAGGTACAAACTATTGTTTGTACAAGGATATATTGTACATCATGGGGAATATAGACAATATTTTATAATAACTATAAATGGAGTATAACGTCTAAAAATTGTGAATCACTATATTGTACACCTGTAACATATAATACTGTACAACTGTTTCAATTAAAAAAAAGAGTTCATATTTGTTATTCATAATTTTCCATTTCTTTGTTGTTTAATATAAACGACATTATTTTCATTTTCTCTCTCAGTAAAACAGATACCATTCCCATCTGGTATTCCACTGCAAGCTGATTCTGCGGTTTCCGAAAATGTGATACAGTCCATACCAATAACAGCCATATCTTCTGGTGCCAAAGAGCAGATAAAAGGAGGAGGAGGAGAAGAAGAAAAGATGAAAGAGAAAATTGAAAAGAAAGGTATTTTTGAACAGTTGAAGTTATTTGTCACTTGACTCGTTTATCAGATGTCAGCATTTTTGATAATAATAATGGTGTCAAGAAGAAAGTTCAGACTTTTATGAACTAAAGTTAGGAACAATAGGATAATGGAACATAGAACCTGGGCTCTGAAGGATGACAGGATAAGAGTGTGGCATTTGAGGTAGAGGGACCAGCATAACTGAAAACAAAGTAGAGATTAAGTATAGAGGCCCATGTGTAGTTTGGTATGACTGAATTTAGGTGTATATATAGGGGATAGTTTGAGAGAAATCACAGGTAGAAAGTTAGCTTAGAACCAGTTGTGAAGATAGGAAAGGGATATTCCAGTCATACCAGAATTTCTGAACTAGCATGGGGGTGTTAAAGTTTTAGGAACCCATTAAGATCTGAAGTGCAAAGTATATCACAGTCCACTTAGGCAACTAGAGTAGAAATCTTAGAGTCAACCTTAACTTGTCCCTGTCCCTCAATTTCACATTTAATTGGCTACCAAAGCCTATACAAGCATACCTCAGAGATATTGCAGGTTCAGTTCCAGGCCCCTGCAATAAAGCAAATATCACAAGAAAGCAAGTCACAAGAATCTTTTGGTTACCTAGTACATATAAAAGTTATGTTTATACTATACTGTAGTCTGTTAAATGTTCAATAGCAGTGTGTCTAAAAAAAATAGTGTATATAACAATTAAAAATACTTTATTGCTAAAACATGCTAACCATCATCTGAACCTTCAGCAAGTCATCTTTTTGCTTGGGGAGAGTCTTTTCTCAATGTTGAGGGCTGCTAACTGATCAAGCTCATGATTTCTGAAGGATGGGGGGCTGTGGCAGTTTCTTAAAATAAGACAGCAGTGAAGTTTGCTGTACTGATTGAATCTTTCTCTCACAAACTATTTCTCTGTAGCACACATGCTGTTTGATAGCATTTTACCCACAGTAGAATTTCTTTCCAAATTGGAGTCAGTCTTCTCAAATCTTGCCATTGCTTTATCAACTAAGTTTATGTAATATTCTAAATCCTTTGTTACCCTCAACAAACTTCACAGCATCTTCACCAGGAGTTGATTCTATATCAAGAAACCACTTTCTTTGCTCATCCATTAGAAGCAACTCCTTATCCATTAAAATTTTACTATGAGATTGCAGCAATTTAGTCACATCTTCAAGCTCCACTTCTAATTCTAATTCTCTTGCTATTTCCACCACATCTGCAGTTCCTTCCTCCACTGAAATCTTGAGCCCCGCAAGTTATATATGAGGATTAGAATCAGCTTCTTCCAGACTCCTGTTACTGTTGATATTTGACCTCTTTCCTTGAATCACAAATGTTCTTAATGGCATCTAGAATGGTGAATCCTTTCCAGAAGGTTTTCAATTTAGTTTGCTTAAATCCATCAGAGGAATCACTGTGTATGGCAGCTATAGCTTTAAAAAATATATTTCTTAAAGAATAAGACTTGCAAGTCAAACTTCTTGATCCATGGGCTACAGCATGGATGTTGTGTTAACAGGTGTGAAAACAAACTTAATCTCATTGTACATCTCTATGAGAGCTCTTGGGTGACCAGGTGAATTGTCAGTGAGCAGTAACATTTTGAAAGGAATCATTCTTGTGAGCTGAAAGTCTCAACAGTGGGCTTAAAATATTTTGTAAACAATGTTGTAAACAGACATACTGTCATCCAAGCTTTGTTGTTCCATTTATAGAGCACAAACAGAATAGATTTAGCATTATTTTTAAAGGCCCTAGGATTTTCAGAATAGTAAATGAGCATTGGCTTCAACTTCAAGTCACCAGCTACATTGGCCCCTAACAAGGGAGTCAGCTTGTCCTTTGAAGCCAAGCATTGACTTCTCTCTTGCTGTGAAAGTCCTAGATGGCATCTTCCTACAATAGAAGGCTGTTTCATCTGCATTGAAAATTTGTTGTCTAGTGTAGCCACTTCATTAATTATCTTAGCTAGATCTACTGGATAACTTGCTGTAGCTCCTACATCAGCACTTGCTGCTTCACCTTGAATTTTTATGTTATGGAGATAACTTCTCTCCTTAAAGATGATGAACCAAGCACTGCTAGCTTTAAACTTAACTTTTTGCAGATTTCTCATCTCTCTCAGCCTTTACAGTATTGAAGAAAGGGCTTTGCTCTGGGTTAGGCTTTGGCTTAAGGGAATGTTATGGCTGGTGTGCTCTTCTATCCAGGCCACTAAAACTTTCTCCATTTTAACAATAAGGCTGTTTTGCTTTCTTATCATTCGTGTCTTCACCAGAGTAGCACTTTTAGTTTTCTTCAACTTCTTGGCATTCACAACTTGGCTGTTTGGCAGAAGAGATCCAGCTTTTGGCCTCTCTTGGGTTTTGACATGCCTTCCTCACTAAGCTTACTCATTTCTAGTTTTTTTTTTTTTTTTCCTTGCGTTATGCGGGCCTCTCACTGTTGTGGCCTCTCCCATTTGCGGAGCACAGGCTCCGGACGCGCAGGCTCAGCGGCCATGGCTCACGGGCCCAGCCGCTCCGCGGCACGCGGGATCCTCCCGAAACGGGGCATGAACCCGTGCCCCCTGCATCGGCAGGCGGACCCCCAAGCACTGCGCCACCAGGGAAGCCCCATTTCTAGCTTTTGAACGTGAAAAATGTGTGAGTCTTCCTTTCACTTGCACACTTAGAGGCCATTGTAGGGTAATTAATTGGCTTAATTTCAATATTGTATCTCAGGGAATAGGGAGGCCCGAGGAGAGGGAGAGAGACGGGTTGGCTTGTTGGTGGACAATCAGAATACACAACATTTATTAAGTTCAGCATTTTATATGGACATGGCTTGTGGTACCCCCAAACAATTACAGTAGTGACATCAAAGATCACAGCCACAGATCACCATAACAAATATAATAATAAGGAAAAAGTTTGAAATACTGTGAGGATTACCAAAATGTGACACAAAGACACGAAGTGAGCAAATGCTGGTGGAAGAATGGGGCCAAGAGATGCTTGATGCAGGGTTGCCACATACCTTCAATTTGTAAATAATGCAGTATCTGCAAAGTGCAGTAAAGGGAAGCACAATAAAATCAGGTATGCCTGTAATTCCTACCACCACAACATATCTGGAGGGCAGCTCTGTTCCTCCGTTTTGTTAGGTGCTACCAGGTAGTTCAGGTTCTCATGATCTCATCTAAATTAATGTTCAAGCCTCATTTTTTCTAGTCTGTCCTTCCATTGCTGCTAAAGCTGTTTTTCTAATCATAAATCTGACTCCTTTTTTATTTAACTTTCCTTTATTCCTTTCTGGACTTCATTTCCCCAGGTATGTCTAAAAATGTGCTTTTATAATTCATTATACATGCCTCTCATAGTATTTAAACTTAGTTAAAATTTTTTTGGAAACTATAAAATGGCTCAGGGATCTGTGAGCTAACCTAAGCGATTTTAGCACTTCTGAGTTCTTTTAGTAAGCATCAATAGCCTGTGTTAGAAGTAGTTAGCAGCTGTACATGCTCTCCTGCATAACTTCACCACTAGGTGGTATGGTTACAAAGAAAGCAGTTCAGACTAATTCTTTCACTTTATGAATTTTATTAAGTAGGCACAGAACAGTCATGCAGCCTGTTCTTATACGTTTGGTGAAGTCCATCCTCAAAGAGGATGCATTACTGTGGCTGCAGGGTCAGTCAACCTTATAGTCAAATGAGACAACAAAGTCTTCCTTTGGAGGAGGAGGGAGCACACAAAACCAAATGGAAATCTAGGTCTAGAATGCCTCTGTTCAATAGAACTTCCTGTTCTGTATAGCTGCATTATCCAACACAGTAGACAATAGCCACATGCAGCTATTTGAAATGTGTCTAGTATGACTAAAGAACTGAATTTTTAATTATTTTAAATTTAAATGTAAATAGCTCTGTAGGGTTGGCAACTACTGTATTGGACAGTGCTCGATTAGAAGGCTGTTCCATTGGTGCTTGGCTGCTAAGATTGCCAGATTCCAAAATTCTGCTCACACAAGGGTTGTGGCACCCATACAGTCTTTCTATACTGCCACTTATAAGCATCACTCATTTGTTAATGAAACATTTCTAAAATCCCTTATGATGACTAACAAAGTTCTTGGTATAGATTTTGATATTTGCAGTCACCTCTGGAATGTGGATTCCTGATAAAGGTATTTCAAATGCCTAGAGAATAAAGTTTAAAAATGTATATGAAAATAGCTATATTGTGCTGTTATAGTAGTATGTATGTAGTATTTTAAAATAAATATATAGTTTATCACTCAAAGATAACTACTATTAAGATTTTTGTAGTAATTATATATATATATATATTTCTATATCATTTGGGCTTTTATTCTTTAAAAAAATCTTTGCTAATATGTTACATGGAAAATAGTATTTTTTAAAAATTTGCTAATGAAAGTAAAAATTGTCCATTATTTTAAACTAACTCTACCTCCTCTTTTATAAACTATCTTTGTGTAAATTGTGAATGTTTTTTACACAAAATCATCTATTCCTACTCCAGGCAGAATTATTCTCTGTGCTTCTATATTTCTTTGTGTATGTAATATTTGTCACATGTTCACTGTATAAATCTGTCTTTCTTAAAAGAGATTTTTAGTGCTTAGCTAGCATGGGCCACTCATCTTACTTTTTTCAGTGCCATAGATCTGAGTAAATATTTGTTCAAAGATAAAACAAAGAAATAGTTAAGAAACAATGTTTTCGGGCTTCCCTGGTGGCGCAGTGGTTGAGAGTCCGCCTGCCGATGCAGGGGACACGGGTTCGTGACCCGGTCCGGGAAGATCCCACATGCCGTGGAGCGGCTGGGCCTGTGAGCCATGGCCGCTGAGCCTGCGCGTCCGGAGCCTGTGCTCCGCAACGGGAGAGGCCACAGCAGTGAGAGGCTCGCGTACCGCAAAAAACAAACAAACAAACAAACAAAAACAATGTTTCAAGCCATAATAACTTATCTCTTCAGATTGGGAGGTAAATAAGTTTTTGTTTTGTTTTACATTTTTTTTCTGCCAGAGAGGCTAAATGTAAACTTTAGGAATATGAACTCTATACAGGTTGCATTTTGACTCAATGGCTAAAGTAATCTTATGCTAATAAGAGTTATATTATCAGCATATAAATAAAAGTAGAATTTTATAAACATAATCAGAATAAAATGTGACTCTCTAGAGTCACAGTAAATCTTAAATCTTAAAGGATTTTCTACACTTCTGTTTCAGGGAAAGGCAAATTTTCTCTTTAAAAGGTTATTTGCTGGCCATAAAGTCTCTGTTCAAACTACTCCACTCTGCCGTAGTACCAAAGTATCCATAGACAACATGTAAATTAATGAACATGATTTTGTTCTAATAAAACTTTTTGACAGGCAGTGGGCTGGATTTGCCCTTGAGCTATAGATTACCAACATCTACTCTATGTCTTTAACTAGAGATATAGACAGTTAATTCAACAGAGAAATAGCTTAAAAGGGTTCAGATATGGTGACATGAGTAATTCTTTCTTGTTATTTAAATGAAGATAGGAGATAAACAGTCATTTTTCTTTTCTTTTAAGCTCACCAGCATCAATGCTATAGAGATTTTCATAGTGTTTTGGGTTTTTTTTTTGTGGTAAGCGGGCCTCTCATTTGTTGTGGCCTCTCCCATTGCATAGCACAGGCTCTGGACACGCAGGCTCAGCGTCCATGGCTCACGGGCCCAGCCACTCTGCGGCATGTGGGGTCTTCCCAGACCGGGGCACAAACCCGTGTCCCCTGCATCGGCAGGCAGACTCTCAACCACTGCGCCACCAGGGAAGCCCTCATAGTGTATTTTTACCTCTGATGTTTATCCATTTATAAATATTTTTAGGAGAGAAAAAGGAGAAAAAACAGCAACCAGCAGGAGGAAGTGCTGACTCTAAGCCTATTGATGTATCCCGTCTGGATCTTCGAATTGGTTGTATCATCACTGCCAGAAAACACCCTGATGCAGATTCTTTGTATGTAGAAGAGGTAGATGTTGGAGAAACAGCCTTAAGAACAGTCGTCAGTGGCCTGGTGAATCATGTTCCTCTTGAACAGGTAATCTGTATAGCTAAAATTATTTCTACATATACATTTCACTTTCATTCTCTCTTTCTTAATGTTTTTTCATGTAATTTTGTATCATACTGCACAACATGAGCCAGTATTGATTAATTTAGTTGATTGGTTCGAATGTAATGAATTCCACCAAAAAGTGCATAAAACTACCAGAAACTTGCAAAAGATCTGTAAATTAAGATCAAATTCAGGAACATAAAAAGAAGAAACGATATGTTATTTTTTTCTCAGTTTTTAAAAATGTTTTTAGTTTGGTATTTAACATCATTGTTCCATCATGGAATTTTATTCCTTAATTTTTAAAATCATTGTTATGTAACTCAGAAAGCACCCATCTAAAATTAAGAAAGCAAGTTTTATTTCTTTATAACTCAAGAAATATTTTCATACCAGAAGAGGAAAGAGGAGAGGGGATCATGAAGATTGAACGTGCAATTTTTAATGGTATTCCTTTATTCATTAAAAATTTGATGTTTTGGGGATTCCCTGGTGGCGCAGTGGTTGAGAGTCTGCCTGCCGATGCAGGGGACACGGGTTCGTGCCCCGGTCCGGGAAGATCCCACATGCCACGGAGCGGCTGGGCCCGTGAGCCATGGCCGCTGAGCCTGTGTGTCCGGAGCCTGTGCTCCGCAACGGAAGAGGCCACAACAGTGAGAGGCCTGCGTACCGCAAAAAAAAAAAAAAAAAAAAAAAAAAAAAAGAGATTTTATTATTTAGATATTTAAATGTATCTATATTTCCAGTGACCATGGAACGAATCAAAGACAGTAATAGTTTTTAATTTGCTCTTTCTAGGCATCTTCTGTAGTCATTGCATCATTTACCTATCTCCTCTGCCCCATAGTGCTTGAGATATTGCAAAGACCATAGACTTCAACATTAAAATAGTTCTGCCTCTCAGTCCTTTGCCAGCTTTGTTGCTTATTGGCTTTGTGAATTTGCATAAATTCCTACATTTATTCATTCCTATTTCTAGATGCTAATATTTATTGAGCACCTATACTGTGCCAGGAACTATTCTAGGCAAGTGAATTAAAATAGAAAGATAGATAGATAGATAGATAGATTTGCTTAAAAAAACAAAAAGCCCTGCCTTTGTGAATCTTATATCCCTATGAGGGAGTCAGGAAATCATAATATATAGTGTGTTAAATGGTGATAAATATCAGGAGAAAAATGAAAGAATCTAGGAATATTGAGGCTAGGAAGATTTTGTCATTTATATAAAGTGGCCATGGAAGACCAAAGAAAGTGATATTTAAGTAAAGGTCTAAGAAAATGAAGAAGGCAAGTCATTTTGTCTGGTGGGAGAGCATTTTCAGGCAGCCCTGAGTCAGAAGTATTCCTGGGATGTTCAAAGAACAGCAGGAGGCCAGTGTCACTGTGGCAGACTAAATAAGGGGAAGTGTCATGGGAGATGAAATCAGAGATAAAGATACCAAATGATATAGGGTATTAGAGATCATTGTAAAAACGTGGGCTTTTATTCTGAGTGAGATGAAAGCCATTGGAGGGTTTTTGAGCTAAGGGGTAATATGCTCTGTGTCACATATTAGTAGTATCATCCGGTTGCTTTGTGGAGAGGAGAAATATGGAATTAAGGAGATCAGTGAAGAAATTTCTCTTATCTGTGAAAAAAAGATAGACTTGGCACATGTGTGTGCTTTTCCTTTGTAACATCCGTTTTGTATAGGACCAGGGCTCCTTTATAACTACTTATGAAGTTAGGTTCATAAGGAGCCCTGGAGAAAAGAACCAACTGATCTTGAGCCAGCTTAAATTGGAAAAACTCCTCCTCCTTGGGGCTTCAACGTTTTTGTTCTCATAAGTTACAGACTTTTTCTTCTCTTCCAAAAGCTATCATTCACAGCCATAAGCAAAGCTATTTATGTACACATCTGTATCTAACCCAACAAGTCAGTACTAGTAAGCAGTCTATAAAGTAACAGCACTTAGCCCCCCAAAACTGCATACCAAATTTTGTACATTTGTTTATTTTTCTAAGGTAAAGATCCACAGCTCTCATCTGATTCTTAACAGATTGCATCTAGCTAACCCTGTTGTTTTTCTTATACATATTTGCTAAATTTTTTTTTGAAGTTCCCATATATGTGGCATTTTGCAGTTATTTGTTTGAAGACAATAAGAATTCATGAAGACCTCCAAAATGGGGGCCTTTTAACTTTGAGCCTTAGGCTAATTTTTTTAATCATAGAATTTGGTAGTAAATTTGAAGTTTACAGAAATTTTTAAGTACTTCTTTAACAAATTATAGAAATAGCCATAATTGTTCATTGTAGTGTGCATAATGCTTGAATTGTTAAATGATCAGTATTTTTTTTTTTTTTTTGTGATATGCGGGCCTCTCACTGTTGTGTCCTCTCCCGTTGCGGAGCAAGGGCTCCATACGCGCAGGGTCAGTGGCCATGGCTCACAGGCCCAGCCGCTTCGCGGCATGTGGGATCTTCCCGGACTGGGTCATGAACCCGTGTCCCCTGCATCGGCAGGCGGACTCTCAACCACTGCACCACCAGGGAAGCCCCTGATCAGTATTTTTTAACTTAGGAAATGAACCTTGCATAGTATTGGAAATGATCAAACATATAGGGGAAAAAAATGTGCATTTATTTTAGTGCTAATGCTAAGCTAAATACTTATTTACATGTTGTGATTTAATCCTTGTGACAAGTCTTTAATAACATTTCCCTCCTTTTGTGAGGAAACAGGGAGATCAACTTTATACAACCTCATTGCTAGTACATGGCAGATTAAATTCAAAACTAAGTCTGTTTCACTCAGCCATTTCTTTATTTATATTTAAGTGAAATATTATTGCCTCTTCTGTTTGATCTCTAATGCATTGTCAATTTGTAGAATTTTTTTTTCATGTTGATATAAGACTTCTTAACAACAAAAGATTTTGGACACAGATAAGGATAAAAACAGCCACAAAAATAGGACATTTGATATTTAGCATATTAGGTGTACCTTAATGTATTCTAGATAAGATTATTCTAAATCTCTAGACATCTTTAATCATCAATTTATATTTCACACAGATGCAAAATCGGATGGTGATTTTACTTTGTAACCTGAAACCTGCAAAGATGAGGGGAGTAGTATCTCAGGCAATGGTGATGTGTGCTAGTTCACCAGACAAAGTTGAAATCTTGGCACCTCCTAATGGGTCTGTTCCTGGAGACAGAATTACCTTTGATGCTTTCCCTGGTAAGTATTTGTTAGTCATTATTTAAAATAGTTTGGGAATCATTGTTCTCAAAGCTATGCTTGGAATGTTTAAACTCAATCCTGTAAATGACTTGTAAGACTTTACATTAGATGATCATTATTAGTGATATTATTGAGTTTATTGAGATTGACTCAAGATGGCACAACTGTCTAACTATTCCGTCCCCATGAACACTCAAATTTCATAAAACACCAGAGAGATCTTACCCTAAGTGTAATACTAATTTTGATACCTCCATAGCAGAAGTGTCATAAGAATAGAGAACCAATTAATGTGCTACAAAATCATTTAAGCTGTAGATTATCTCAGAATGCAACACAGAAAGAAGAAGAGATGAAGAGGGAGGGGGAAATGTATAATTCTCTAAGTCGGTCTGGTAATAACTTGCACATGCTTTTACTAGACTTGAGGATTTAGAGGAAATCTCTAAGTAGAAATTCATATTTATTTTAATAATCTAAGAGGAAAGTTCATTTCATATTGCTTCTTTTCTGTAGTAAAATGCTCCTGAGATGGATGAAACTTCATAATGCATGAGAACATTTCTTCAAATAGGTCTTTGAAGCAGTAAAGAAAGGATGCTTGGCAGATGTAGAATAAATATTTCTTTCATAGAAGTTGAAGACCTCATAAGAAGAAAAACAGTTAGAAATTAAAAGACTGTATTTACAGAGGATGTTCATTTGCCTAGAGTAAGGAAAAGCAGAAATAAATTAGGGTAACAAGTAGAATTATGTTTAAAAGTCAAAATTTATTTGGAGATGTGTTTGTGAAAACAAATGAGTTTTAATGGAATAGCAAGGCTGATATGATTATTAGGCCTGTTTTTTTAATCCTATGTTAACTGTGTTTGATGAAATATTAAGACATGAAGAATTTTAACATTGGAATAATAAGATTTTAAAAAATGGATGAAAGCATGGGTAACTTCCATGAAACTCAGCTCCCACCTCCTAATAAAAAGTATACTAATCTAAAATACGTGGGGTTAACAAGTATCTGTGACTGCGAATCCATGTGTATGTCTTGAACCTTGGTCGATTGGAGATCATGATGGTCTGTGCTCTGAGAACTTTTTTTGGTAAAGCAGGTTTTGGGAAAATCCCAGTCTCAGTCATTTCTCAAAGCAGCATGATAGCTTTTGGTTCTAGGAGCACACGATCACCACTCTACTTACCAGGGTATCAAAACACTTCGTCAAACCTCATGCTTTTGGGTAGGCCGTCATGTGTATACCTGACAAACCTGAAATTCTATTTCACTAAGTTGGAATGGAATGAAAATAGAAGCAAACTTTTTCTTTCAAGATTCAGCACACATTGAAGAAAAAAAACAAAAATCTTGGTTTACCCTTTCAGATTAAAATTTACCTTCCTTTTTATTTAAATATTTAAGATGAGTACATTTTAAGTTTTATTTTTTGATATAAATTGTAGAGTCAGATGTTTAGAACTGGAAGAAATCATCTACTTTAACCCACTATTTTACAAATTTGGAAACTGAGACCCAATAATACCTAAGTTACTTGCTTAAGGTTATACAGAGTTTGTAGAAGGATCAAACAGTAGATGTGCCTGAATCTCTAATACTGTCAGCATTTTTGTTGGTTGTTGCTTGCTGTAAATTCATATGGGCTATTTCATTAGAGAAGGCTTATAGTTCTTTTATTTCTATGACAGCTTTCATTCCCTTATCTTATAGAATTAACAGATAAATATTTCAGCACTTGAATCAGTTTAGAATTAACAGATAAATATTTCAGCACTTGAATCAGTTATTATCTGGATGTTACTGTTAACGTATATTGAATTTTTTTTTTTTTTAAGTTACTAAGTGATTTAGCATTAGAGATGCTAATAGCCCAGTGTGGATTTCTTGCTTTTACTATATTTTTGAATCTTCCCATCTGTTCGGCTGTTTGTGTGTTTATGTTTACATCATTCCAAAGTCTGATATTTCTTTCATATTCATAGTTTCTCCTTGTGCCTTACCACATGAATATGTAGCTAACATATAAAAAAAATTGTAAAGTGAAAGGGAAAAACCTAACATTAAAGTAGCCTATGAGGTTGTTTGAATTATTCTCTTATAACTTATAAAATGCTTAACCAAGCTTAACAGCATCAAATAATTGATAAACTTGGGGACATGAGGTCTGTTAGTACTCATCCTACTTACGCTTCCACATAGGTTACTGCTTCTGTAGCAGTAAATCTAAAAGGAAATAACAGTTAATACTATGTATGCAACAGACCATTAGTCTTATTGTTTGTTTGTTTGTTTTCCTTTTCCCAGAGAGAGCCATGATTTATCAGTACTGTATTTTTCAGCATATGTTCTACATTTTCAAGCTTAAGGTATCTGCTGGTACATTTTGATGTTCACTTGATATGCTCAGTGTCTAGAGATTTACCTTTTATGTTATATAAAGTGTGGTATAGAAATTACAACTGGGGCTCAAACGTTTGAATTGCTATTTGGCTTTGAATAACTATTTTCTCCCACTACAAAACCATCACTTCCATAGAGTTTAGAAGATGCCAAATAATATTTTTATAACAATGGCTAAAAACTCTCCCCACTACTTTTTAAAATATTAAATGTGTGAAGCCATAAATTTTAGTATTTAAATATGGTAACTGGTTCCTAAAGCATCAAGCAACCGAAAACAATATTACAATAGATAAAGGCATTGATATCTTTTTTTTTTTTTTTGAGAATACACTGGTTTTGGTCTAATAATAAATGAGAATTTGCATTCAGACTTCTAACTTCTAAGATCATGCTTCTTTCTGTTGACATTGAGTCTTATTAGTAAATATGAGTTTATGGTTAATCTCAAAGCATGTATGATATGTGAAGGTCTTTAGCTTCTGGACCCACTTATTCTTTAAAAATAAATTGGGGGTTTTTTTTGGTATTGAGTGATTTGAGTTTTTTATATATTTTGGATATCAGCCCCTTATCAGTAAGTTTGCAAAAATCTTCTCTCATTCAGTTGGTTGCCTTTTTGTTTTGTTGATGGTTTACTTTGCTCTGCAAACACTTTTTAGTTTGATGTAGTCCCATTTGTTTGTTTTTGCTTTTGTTGCCCTTGCCTGAGGACAGACATTCAAAAAACTATTGCTAAGACTGACCTCAAAGAGTTTACTGCCTGTGTTTTCTTCTAGGTTTTTTATGGTTTCAGGACTTACATTTAAGTCTTTAATCCATTTTGAGTTTTTTATTGTATATAGTGTAAGAAAGTGGTCAAGTTTGATTTTTTGCATGTAGCTGTCCAGTTTTCCCAACACCATTTATGGAAGAGACTATCTCTTCCCCATTGTATATTCTTGCCTCCTTTGTTATAGATTAATTGATGCTATGAGTGTCAGTTTATTTCTGGGCTCTCAATTCTGTTCTGTTCATCTATGTGTCTGTTTTTGTGGCAGTACCATCCTGTTTTGATTACTACAGCTTTGTAATATAGTTTCAAGTTCGGTGTAGTTTCAGGTGTGACCCCTCCTTGTTCTTTCTCAAAATAGCTTTGGCTATTCAAGGTCTTTTGTGTTTCCATACACATTTTAGGATTATTTGTTCTACTTCTATGAAAAATGCTGCAGGTATTTTGACAGAGATTGCATTGAATCCATAGATTGCTTAGGGTAGTATGGACCTTTTAGCAATATTGATTCTTCCAATCCATGAGCACAGTATAACTTTCCATTTATTTGTGTCATCTTCAGTTTCTTTCCTCAGTGACAAAGAGTTTTCAGAGTCAGGTGTTTCTACTCCTTGGTTAAATTTAGTCCTAGATATTTTATTCTTTTTGATGCAGTTGTAAATGGGGCAAGGATGTAGAGAAAAGGGAACCTTTCTACACTGTTGGTGGGAATGTAAATTGTTGCAGCCACTATGGAAATCAGTATGGAGGTTCCTCAAAAAACTAAAGGTGGAATTACCATATGGTCCAGAAATTTCACTTCTGGTTATTTATCTGAAAAAAATAAAAACACTAACTCGGAAAACACCCCTGTGTTCATTGTAGCAGTATTTACAATAGCCAAGATATGGAAGCAGCCCAAGTGTCCATAGATAGATAAATGGATAAAGAAGACGTGGTGTCTGTGTGTGGTGTGTGTGTGCACATGTGCGCGTATGCACGCACACACATACACAATGAAATATTACTCAACCATTAAAAAGAATGAAGTCTTTGTGGACTTTGAGGGTATTATGCTTATTAGTGAAATAAGTCAGAGAAAGACAAATACCATATGATTTCACTTATATGTGGGATCTGAAAACCACAGCAAACAAAACAGATTCATAGATACAGAGAACAAACTGATAGTTGCTAGAGGGGAGGAGGGTGGGGGGGATGGATGAAATAGGTGAAGGAGATTAAGAGGTACAAACTTCCGGCTATAAAATAAGTAAGTCATGGGGATGTAATGTATACATAGGGAGTACAGTCAATAATATTGTAACAACTTTGTATGGTGACGGACAGTAAATGATCTTATTGCAGTGGTCATTTCATAATGTATAAAAATATCTAATCACTGTGTTGTACACCTGAAACTAATATACTTTTTTTAAATGAAAAAAAAAGCCTGTCTATATTTGATTCTCTTCCTTAAAATCTATTTCAATCAGGCTTCTCTCTCCACTGTTCCACCAGAATTGCTCTGGTCAGGATCACCAATTTACTCCCTGTAGCTAAATCCATGGCTAGTTAGTTCTCAGTCCTTTTCTTAATTAACTTTAACTTGGCTTCTGACTCCACACTTGCATGGTGGTCCTCATGCTTCATTGGCTGCTCTGCTCATCTCCTTTGCTGATTCTTCCTCACCTCCCTGACCTCTTAATTGGAGTACCTCAGACCTTGATCCTTGACCTCTTCTCTTTTTCCATGCTTGGCCTCTTTTTCTTTCCATGTTCATTCCTTTGGCTATTTTATTCAGTCACTTGTCCAGCTACCTACGAGACTTCGTCACTAACATGTCCCAGGGGAGAAGAATGTATATACCAGTCTTCTCCCTAGATTTCCCTTTTCCATACATCTTCATAAAATCCTAGTGGCTGTACCTTCTGAACATATCTAGAGTGATTCTCATCATCTCTACCTCCACAACTTTGGTCCTGACACCAACGTCTCTTATCCAGGTAACTGTAAAAGTTTTCTAACTGATCGCTCTGCTTTTGCCCTTGCCCTTCTTCCGTCTGTTTTCAGTTATAGCCTACTGAGTGATGTAGGTCAGATATGTTAGCTCTCTGCAAAAAACTATTAAAAAGTTTTCTATTTGACCCAGAATACAGATACAGGTCCTTACAATGGCTTCTCATTATTTCATTAACCTCATGTACTTCAGCTCCTCCTCAGTCACCCTAGTTGAGCCACTGGCTCTTTCCCCAGGTAGCTACATGGCTTGGTCCCTCATCTTATTCATATCTTTCAAATGTCTTCTTATTTGTTTTATTTTTCTCCATAACACTTATCATCGTCAGATATACTGTACATTATATATTATCTGCCCACATGGAAATGTAAACATCATGAAATCAAGATTTTTGTTGTTGTTATTACTCACTACTATATTCCTAGCATCCAGAAAAATGTCAGGCATAGAGTAGGAGGTCAGTAAGTTGGTTAATGAATAAATAGAAAGAAACATACTAGTAAAACATGTTTTAAAGAACCCCCCAAACCCTCCAGTATTTGAAGAACAGACCTGAGGATCCATCTTCATTATTTTCAAGATCATTCCTATCAAATCAACAAACCACTTTTCTCTGTTGATTAGCTCTGTAAAATTAATTGACCCCTATTTGCAAAGTTATACTTTAGTCTTTGTGTCACAAAAGGTGATAGTTACAATTATTATAGTTCAAAAACTCAATTAATGTCTTTACATCACCTATGTGGTTACTTACATATTTTCCGTTGAATTGACTCACCGTTTCCACTTAAATTTATCCTAAAAGGAAAGATTATTACCTTTATTGTAAATGGAATACCAGTACCATAAAAATAAGGTAACTATAAAAAATAAATACATATTAAAATGCTGAAGTCGGGAAAAATAAACTCAATTAATGAAACAAAATAATTAAGTTGGTGCTAAGCTTTTCATGGTCCTGACAGATATCCAGGAAGCTGATGATTGTGGAATTTATGTTTATTGCTTTTTGTAGTTTTTAAATGCTGAGATGGTAGTCACAGCTTTTTACATCTGTACAAACTCCTTTCTGAACTAGTTCATGTTGCCTATGTGTTTTGTTTAGATTGAGTTATCTTAAAGTAATCTCTGAATGATTAGTTCTCTTACAATATGTGTAACCATTTCCACATGGTGATTATTGGCATGTGTTTAGCAATTACAGAGACTCTACAGTTTTCAGCTTTAAGAACTTTTATTGATCTCATCACTTTGTTTGGATAGCCATGCCAAAAAGAGAAAGAGGGAGAGGGGCGGGGGGAAATTAGGAAAATAAGATTTAGAAGAAGGATATAACACAGAGCAATGATGAAAGGCTTCTCTGGAAATAGAGTTCATTTTTTAAAATTGTTTAAAATATTAGGTATGCTTTTTTGTGGGAGGTGATTTAAACTTTCCTTTTAAACTTGCTTTATACCTTAACAAATAGTGTATTATTAAGATACATGAATAAACTACAAGGTTAACACTCCATCCAAGACTTTTCAACTCTGATTTATATTCAGTTATCATAATTTGGCAAGTTTTAATTACAGTCTCAAAATTTTAGTTGTCTGAATCATTATTTCGTTTACTAACTCGTTAAAGTCTTGCAGCTACATTTGGAATGTTCAGGTATTGAGCCTGATGTGTTAAAAGCAACAATCAAGAGTTGAAGGTTCTTCTCATAGTTTCTAGTTCATTTTCAGTTAAAATCTTTATCCCTTGAAAATTATTACAGTCTTATGTAAGAAGTTTAAAACCTTCAGATCTTGTTCTACAAGTGCTGGGTGACCTAGGAACCTTTCTGATCCTCAGCTTTTTCATCTGTAAGAAAAGCTTTTTTTATTTTGCGGTACACGGGCCTCTCACTGTTGTGGCCTCTCCTGTTGCGGAGCATAGGCTCCGGACGCGCAGGCTCAGCGGCCATGGCTCACGGGCCTAGCCACTCCGCGGCATGTGGGATCTTCCCGGACCGGGCACGAATCCGTGTCCCCTGCATCGGCAGGCGGACTCTCAACCACTGTGCCACCAGGGAAGCCCAAAAAAAGCTTTTTAATGGTATGTATTTCTTGTGAGTTTTGTGAGGTTTAACTTTTGAAACACTTAGCTACCTGCCTGGTGTTTTAGGCTCTTAGCTATTACTTTTGTGCCTGTATTTCCTCATCTGTAAAGCAGGGGTAATTAATAGTATTTATTTAGTATGCTGAGAGGATTAAATGAGTAAATATATGTAAAGCACATAGTGCAGTGACTGGCACATAGTAAGCACTATGTAAGTGTAGTGTTATGTATTATAATGATTATTATTTTCTATACATATCAGTGTTTTCCTAGATCTGACAAGCTTAAGTTTGTGCTGCACCACAGCTTGTTGTACTTGGGGCTTATGCCTGCATTCAGCAAAAATTTACCCACACAATCTATGGTCTTGATAAGAAGCTTTTACACAAACCTGAGACAATCTGCTTCTTGAATTCATTATCAGTATGGGAATATCTTTTTTTGGGTTCAAGGTGGGGGGATCCAGAGTTAGTACTCAGGCCCCCCTGAACAGTGTGTCTGGTCTCAGCTTTTACAGAATTCTGGAATGCCCACTTCCCCACATGATCTGTGTATAAACAAAGTACAATTATGCTCTTAGATTAACCAATGGTTTGGTGAAAAAAATATGAAAAAATTTATAGATACTTTATATATTGGAATTTTTAAAATTCTGTTTATTAGTTTCTCTGTTGTCCAATCAAATAATCAAATGCTCTTAAAGGAGTAAGAAAAATCCTTATCTTTTATACTTAGTCTCTTCAGCTTTAGTTTCACTGCCTGTTCTTCTACTGTAGATACATTATTCAATTAACTATTCTGTCGTCTCTGAAAAGCTACATATCAGAGGACAGTTTTCTATATTTTTGCCAGTTTCAGGGAGCTAATTAGTTTCTGAAGAGGTAATAAAAAGATCTAGAAAGTTATATTTCTATTATTACTTAGTTATACTTAGCAGTATTTTTGTTATTTCCTCCAGGGAAATCATTTTCCATTTGAAACTAACACTTAAGGGATTCATTACTTCTCCTCATTGTTTCTTAAACTGATTCTTCATTTCAAAAGCTATTGAACATGGTCAGCTACTAAAATCATGTTACATTCAACTTTACTCTCTTCTTCTTCATCATTCATTAAATAGAGGGATCGCTTGGTATATTGGTAGTTTTTAAGCCTAGACCAGATACATTCTACAGTGTGTTTGTCTCTTCTTGATTGTAAACTTTATAGTGTGAGTTAGGGGATAGGGTATTATCCACTTGTAAAAGTGTTGTTTGTTTCTTTTCAGAGGATAATTTATTAGGAGACAAGGTGCTGTACCAACAGAGTAAGGGCTTTGGTGTCAAATCTCACTCTACTTGTTGATTGTATGACTGAGCAGCTTATCTTCTCTGAGCCCCAGTTTCTTTATATTTAAAACTAGAGTGAGTGTGTTTCTGTGAATTGCATGAAGCAACATATATTCCTGGTGCTTAGAAAATGCTAGTCCTGTCTCCTTATTCTTCCTTTCTCTTTCCATCTCACCAAGTGGAATGGGCAGCAGATGAAACCCAGAGTAGTTATTATATTTAGCTAGATAACCCCAACATTTAAGCCATTCTCCAGTATTGTAAGAAATCGTTAAGTACTATAGCAGCGATCTAGTCATTTATTTTTTATGTTGAAACAAATAGTAAAGCATAAGCTGCTTCTGCCATGTGTAAAATTATAACACATCAAATTATGCTCTCATCTGTTCAAAATCTTTCTTTATATGTAATGATAAAATGAGTATCTTGTATTTTCATTCTAATCGTTTGTATTTTCATTCTAATCATTTCATTCTAATCTAATTAGAATGAATCATTCCAATTCATTGAGCTATATTACCTGGAAAACTGTTTATTGTAAGAGTAAAAAATAATACCTTTAACATTTATAAGGAAATGACAAAATATTTTACCAATCAAGAATATAAATTGCCGGGCTTCCCTGGTGGCGCAGTGGTTGAGAGTCCGCCTGCCGATGCAGGGGACACGGGTTCGTGCCCCGGTCTGGGAAGATCCCACATGCCGC